GTTATCATTTCAGGAATAATTGAAAAAAGTACCTATAGTGGATTGGAAACACATTATACGGTATTAGGAGAAACATTGAAATTATTATGTGAAGGATCAGCTGAGCCAAATGAAGCTACAGTATCCAAATCCGAAGCAACCGGTAGCATAATTAGCAGTTTACTCCCGAATAAATTGTTAAATGGGTACGCTAATATCGATATTTCATTTTTATCGGCTAAAATTGTAAAAGTTGGAAATTGTAAAAAGAATAAATGAAAAATGTCTAAGCATATCAATTACTGAATAATATACATAAATTTCTTAAAAAAAAAAAAAATTTATACTTTTCAATGATGAAAAAATAGGATAGAAGAAAATTTTCAACAATTATTAATTAGCATATATCTGTTCGATCTCCACATATTATTCTTTCCACATTTCATATTGTTCCATATTTAATGCTCCTTAATTGTAGGAGTGACTTTTTTTTTCATAGAATTATGAAAATTATTTATTATGAATAATTTCTTTTCTAGTACAAAAATTATGAAAAAGTCGCTTCTTGGCTATTGTAGCTTGTCATAAATTATTAAAAATAGAAATATGAATGGAATAAATAAATTATTTGATATTGGAATTGTGACATGAAGATTTTGCTAAATAATTAGTTGCATTATTAGATATCGACTAAATTTTGATTAAAAGAAAAAAAAAATTTTATTACCCATGCACTATTGTACCATATTTTTTTACAAAGATTCAATAGAAATTTTTTCTTCAATTAAAGGGAAAATTTGTCAGTTATTTATATCTGCAGAAAATGCAACAATAGGAGATGCACGGAGTACAGCACTTCAACAGTTCCTCATTACCAGACGAAGATCCTGAAATCGAATATCAATTCTGCTGAGGACATCAGTCAGTTTTCCGTTTTACCTTTTGGGTGGGAACTAAGAATCTTGCACTTAATAATACTAAACGATATAAATTATTGATTGATTTATTTTAAACACATTAAAGATCAAGTACTGTTTGTAAAGTCTCTGAAAAAGACTGAAAAAAAAAGTTTTTTAGTTAAACTAAAAAATTTATAGCACAAATAATTATTAGCAATGAAAAAGTGATATATTATTATTCAAATTTTCCATATTTAAGAAAAAGAGCGCATCAAATTTAATTCTCCAATGATGGAATAAAGAAATATTTCAAATTAAAATTCTAATTCTAATCCAGTTACTTTGACTTTAATATATTCAATCAATCACTTAAGTAGAATGATAACAGATATGTTTTAAAACTTCCATAAGACCAATTTAAAAACTTTAGTGCAAGAAATTGAAAATAATGATACGATATGGGAAAGTTTATGCTTCAAATTTACTTATAATCAGTTGAACAGAATCGTTCAATCGCTAATATGATTTGATTATCATGACGTATTTCGTCTTTGCGATAATTGATTTACTTTACGAAATTTAAAGTATATCGATTATTTAATTTTGTATTTACATTAATCATATGTCTGTGTATGATATTTTAACGTACGTTTTTCCAGCCAATGTAAAATTTCAATTAAAATGTTTTTGTTTTTTGCTTAATCAATTATTAACTAATAGCTGATTAATAGCAAAAAAAAAGCTTATCGGATTCTAAGATAACAAATGTTTCCTTCATTTTTTAAATTTTCCTCCCCTCTGTTATTCGTCTTATATCAATAATAACTTGAATTTATTATTTCGAGAAATATTTTTTCAATTTACAAATAAATTTCAAAATTTCACAGCTTAAAAAATTATAAAGTGGAGCGAAAACCTAAAAAATAGAAGAAACATTTGTTATTTTAGATTTCGATAGACTTCTGTAATGAAAAAAAAAATTTTTTTTTCTATCTCTTTATTGCTGATAATATATGCTTCTTTATTTTTAGCTATGTAAAATTGTTTAAAATTAATTTTAATTTTTTCAGATATAACGAAAACAGCAAATAATAGTGATTATATTTATGATAATCCAGCACGGATAGGTAACGATGCTCAAACACAAACATTAAATTATTTTAGTGACAAGGAAACTGTTGGTTACTCTGTTGGATTTGTTATCATTTTGTAAGCTTTTAATGAAATATTTTAAAAATTTACCTAAAATTAGAATTTTTATGATAAATTTGATTTGAAAATAAATGTATTAATGTCGAGTTTACTTTGCAAAATTCACAATTACAAAAATATGCAGAGTAAAATTTTAGATTTAATATGAAAATTTTTCGTTATTCAAACAATATCAATTTGCAATGAAATTTTCAAATCTTTTAAGTAAAAATTTTGCATTCAAGATCTTGGAATTCAATTTTTGGAATTCAATTTTAATAATTTTAAATTAAATTGATTCTTTATAGGCTTTTTATATTGCTTTGTTTGCAACTTTTTACTTTTCTGAAGATCTCATATATTTCGGATGCTCATTGCGCTTGTGCCAATGCAAATTCCGCTTTCACTAAAGCTATTCAAGAACAGTAAGTTTGTAATCGATTTTCAACAATTCATTAATTATTACTTTAGATAAAATATTTTAGTGATTTAAGTACAATATTTTAATAATTCAAATGTTGATCAATTATGATTCGCTTATTGCTTGACATTTATAAAATTCAAAATTTCAGGAATAAACTACCAATAAATGCAAAAAATCTCGAACAGTTACCATTAGCAGAGAAAAATACTGTCTTCAAAGGTGATTTATGAACTTCCGAACTTCCCTTATTGTTTCCAAATTAATTTCAATTTTAAACATAAATCTAGCAGAATTTATAAATTTATAATTTCGAAGAAATTCTCGAGATCATTTATTTTTCTTTTCATCATTCTTTCCAATTGTCTTTGCCTTATTAATCCAATTTTAATAATATTCACAGACAACAATGAGAATGCCAAAATTGGACATTATTATGGCAAAAATTTGTTGTAATGTCAATATTGTTATTTCTCAACCAATTCAATTAATTAATTAATCAATTAATTAATCCCTTTACTTAAGAATTGCATGCTTTCTTTTACATACAATTCTGTGATATTTACTTGTTGAATTCTTGTCTTCCTACAAACAAATAAATCCTTTCCACGTTTTCTTGTCATTTCTGACAATGCGACAAATTTTATCGCTAAATTGCTGTATTATTTTAATAGCAACCAAAATTGAAAATTTCATTTTAGTTTCGAAATATCAAAAAAAAGAGCGAGACAAAATGTGACGATAAATTATCATATTTGCTGTACTTCACTTTCACAATAATTAGAATTTATGCTTATGTTAAACATTAAACGTAATTTTTATTATTTAAAGCACATTTTAGAGCCTTAAAATAAAAATTAAATATTTCAAGTAATCAACTAACCTAAATCTTTCATTCAGTAATTTCCGCGTGAAACATTTCACGTAACATTTGACGTGCAAAGAAGAATTACATTAAGCAAATTTGAGTATTTTCAAAATAATATCAAAAAAGGAAAATTTCTTTGAAATTTCCTGAACATTTTTTTTACAACATTTTATTTTTTACCCATTCTTTTGTTATAATGCCGAATTTTCCACAAGAAGTAATTACGTTTTTAATCTTTAAAAAATGTAGATTTTAATTTGAAAAAAATTAAACATCTAATGACACCGATGAACAAGATAGTACCATTGGCATTTTATCTTTGGCTGTAGGTGATCTTGGTGAAGTTGTTGAATAACTGCATCTGAATGTTGATGACCTCGGCTTAAGTTATTGTCCAAATTACTCCTGGAAATATCAAATATGAATTTTTATTTTAATCACTGATTTCACTTAATTCAACAATTTTGTTATAATAAACCTTTCAAATGCCTTTTTTTGCTCTAATTATAAGCTTGAATTTATGATTTAAGCCCGTTAAAAAAAATTAGCAAAAAAATGAAAATTATATTAATTGGAATAAACATTTCATCAAATTTATTTGATATTTGATCAAATTTATTAAATAAAACAAAATCGTTATTGAAAATTGAATGAATAGAATTTACCAAAATAAGTCTAAGCAAAAGAACCTAAAATTTGATAGTTCAAAAAAATTTCCTTTTTTAGAAAAAGAAGAAAAAGATTTCTCTTTCCGTCAAAAAACCAAAACTTACAACTTCTCACAATTTGATTCCAAACTATCATCCACCTTACAATTTCTTAACATATCATCGTGACAGTTATCGTCGTTATCACCGTTATCATCAGCCTGGGAGTGATGCGCAAAATCTTCATAATCATCATCATCATCAGTATCAAATCCTGTATTTGCAGTAAAATACGCTGTCACACCACTTATACCACTAATAATCGAAGCCTACGAACAGTGATAGGTTCGTTCTCGAAGTTATAAATTCCTATTTGATGCTAATTATTAATTTTCTCTCCTGATACTATCCATTTCAAAAAGTTAACTCTTCAACTATCACTAATTCCATCCATCAAATTTAAATTTCAATTAGCTATCAGGTAAGTAAATAATCAGAATTTTATCAATTAACTAAAAAAATAAAAATTTCTTCAAGTAATTTTTAATTTGGTGAGGAAAAGTTGCAAAATATGCTATTGAACATCAAAGATTCCATTTCAAATTTAATTCCAACATTGCTAATTAAATCACAAAAAAGTGACAAAACAATGATTCACTATTTCATGCATATATGTCATTTTTCATTTACTTTTCTTATTTCCATTTTTAAACAAACAATAGTCTCGCTCGAAAAACAAAAAAAAAAGTTTCCGCACTGTGACGATATTTTTCGACAGAAGATTTTATCATAATAAATAATAAAAATTGTAGATAAAAATTTAATCCAAAAACAAATCAGATAACAGCACGATTTTAATAGTATCACATTGAGAATTAGGAATAGAAAAAAAAAAACGATACTTTATGATACTAATAAAAAGTGAATTAAAATTTTGAGGAATTTGCATAAAATTCGTGATTATATTTTATGACAAATTTCATTTTAATAATTTTCTTTCTTACATTTAATTAAAACATATTGTTTCAATTTATTTTATCGCTACAAAAAAAGAAAAAAATGATATGAAATTATTGAGGAATGCAAATTTCAACGACATGATCGATGATGTCCACCATTATTCTTACAAACTTTCACATAAATGATTCTATTGCACAATTTAAATTTCAATAAGTAATTTCACGTTCATAGTATATCATAAACCTACTCTTGAATTGATTGCCGCTTGTTGAATTGTAATTACCGCTGTTTCTACAGTCAAAGAAGCATTTCTTGATTTTATTGACTGTGAGTCACCAGAGTTCCGGTTCGGTAGTACAGTATCAAGTTGTTGATCAGGTTCCGGTAAATCAAAATCATTTTTGATTACAAGTGTTTGCTTATCTGAAAAAAGAAAGAAGATAAAATTGTTAAGCACTGAAATAAATTTGAACTAATCATTTTTACCAATAATTGTAAAATCGAACAGAAAATTTATCCGAATCATTTTTTCTAACCTGTAAAAATTTTAAGTTAAATTTTTAAAAATAGAATTTAAAAAAAAAAAAAAATCTCATCCAAATGATTAACAACCAAATTTTTGCCCTCAAAATAAGGCTTTAATTAAAATTGCAAATTAATGAGAACAGTCTAAGACTTCCATTTCACCGGACATCTATTTTTATCTTAACTCTTCGAGAGTAAATAAATTTTTTGAAGTTCAAACATTATCTGCAGGATTTAATCGAATTTCAGATCATCTGATAATAATGACATGACATGACAGTGTTCTATAATTTGAAACTTCAATTGTTCAAAATACTTTGTTCTTCTATTAAAAGCTCTGAAAGGCAGGAAAATTCAATTGGAAGAAAAAAAAGCGAAAACCTACCATTTTTAGTCGAAATTAACGGTGAACTTTCCGGATCTTTGGACGGAACTGAAAATGAAAAAGATATTATTGCTGGGAAAAAACTTTTTTTCTTTCATTGCTCTTTTATATGCTTTTTTCCACCAATAACACATTTAAAATACTGAAATTTTGCTAAAAAAATGAAGTGTTTTTTAATTTGTATCAAACGTTAAATAAAATTATTTCGAATAATTTTAGAGGTAGTCAATACCTTCGAGATTTTTTGGTGGCACTGATGATTGTTGCCATTTTTTATGTCTTGAGAAAAAGAATATACCGACAAAAATTATCAATAAAATCAGCGATATAATAAATGGTATTATCCACCCTTTGAAGAAAAGAATTATATGAATTAATTATTAATATTTTAAATTATGGCTAAAAAATATTTTAGCAATATAAAGTTCAAATTTAAAGCACAATTTTTCTCAGTTTTACTCAAATTAATATGAAAAATTTAAAAATTTTTGATACAACTTTTTCAGTTCATTAAAAAATTCATAACAAATAATTCAAATTTCTAATTTATAACTTAATTTTGAATAATATCATTAGGAATATGCGAAATACTTGAACCACGATCGCATATTGCATATAACAGCAACTGTTTTATTAATTTTGACTAATCAAAATTTTTGCTTAAAATTTAAAATTGATTTCATACATTCGGATTCTTCGGCTTCTCCCACATTCATCTCATTATCATTTGGTCGTTGATAAGGTTCAGTGATAAAAGGTGAGTCCCAAAGTGGTGCTTCCACAGTGTTTAGTAGTGCTGAAAAATTGCGAAAATTTATTTAACAATTTAAATTTGAACGAAAATATAAAAAATTTAACTCATTTATAACTTTTTTCTACTCTTTTATATTCTCTTCAATTTTTCAATTTGTTTTAAATTCGATTGTATTGGTAGTTTTAACACCCTTATTTTGGTTAAACCTCAAATTCGGATAAATTTTTTGCATTATGAATTTTCCGCGATTTTAATCAATTCGGCACATGATTTTAAAACATTTTAATTATTTTTTCAATTATTTCAAATTACTTCGAAAATAAATTTTAGATAAATTCTTTTAAATCACAACCGTCATCACAAATAAAAGCAATAAACAAAAGATAATCATCTGATGAATGCACAGAATAAAAATATTTATATTATTACATGCAATCGTATTTAATCAAAATGTGCCGTAATTAAAATTAATTAAAAATATGACGAATTATGTAAATAAAAATGTAAAACGCTTACGTGGTAAACTTCCAGGAATTAAAAATGAATTACATGCACCCAATTGAATTTTATCACCAATAATTGTCACTGATTCAGCAAATTTAAGTTCCGATTTATACAAATATGAAATGGGCTTAAGACGCATACGTGCGACATTTACATCAATATCAATATCTGAAAATTTGATTTGTCAATATACGATGGATATTTTTTTTCCGAAAATTTGCATAAATATCAGAATATTAATTTTTATTTACTAATCGTTTTCTGATTGCATGATAAGTTAGAAAGTTATCAATTAGCATATTTCGTAATTTGGAGCAAATTCAATTCGACTTATGCGAATATGAAATAAGCTTCAGGTGTATATCTGTGACCTTTACAAATATAACGTGATGTTGATATTGAACTTTTTAACAAACATCAACAACAATTTCGATATTGTCAATCTGTGATCAACAAAAAAAAAGCAAATGAATCCTTTACGAATTCTTTTATATATTTTAAACATTTGCTTTGTTTCAAAATTTTCATCTAACTCAAAATACTTTTCTCTTTCTTTTTATTTTTCTAATTTTCAAATTTAATTTTAAACTTTTAAATCTAAAACTTACTTGATAAGCAACCAGTATAGTTATACTTTATTGTTTCTTTATCACCTCTTGTCATATCTGAAATATCCGTAATGTATGACCCACCGAAAGAAAATTTAATAGCATATGCAAGTGACAAATCTGCCGTTAAATATGATGGAAAATCATATTTCCATGAATCAATCTGAAATTTCATTCAAATGATTTCATTAATTAATCTTTTTAAACTAGAAAAACAGGAAAAAAAGACCAAATGAAATTATCAAAAAGTCAATCATTAATTGATTGAACAACTAACTTTATTATTATCGTTGTTTATTGTAAACTACATAGAGATTTAAATTAGCAGCAATATTTTAAAGTTTGAAAATGAATAAATGAAAGTGCTCAAAAATCTCACCGTCACTTTCAGTGATTTATTGGCTCGGAATCTCGAATGGAGGTAATGTCGATAACCATCGTTGTAATTGTATGGAAATGTGTAAACAAATGACAATTCGCTCGATGTTATGCCAATATTTATTGAACCATTTTTGCATAATATTACTTGCAGCATCCTAAAAAAAGGAAATTATTGAAAAAGTCACGTTTTAGACGTGCGTCATTTGTTTCGTGCATTTAAATTGGAGACAGATAAAACATATAATTAGTGAGTTACGAACGTAATAAACAAACAGACGTAAATAAATCGTATTTGCCAATCTTTGTTGTAAAAAAAATTGTTGAAAAAACTACGTTTTAGACGTACGTCATTTGTTTCGTGCATCTGAATGATGATAGATAAAATATGTAATTTTTTTTTAGACGTAGATACGTCATTTGTTTTATTTAATGATGACAAAGAATAACATATGGCATATTTATGTTTCACCAAACGTCACTCGAATATAAGTGATACGCTTGCCAACGTTCTGGTTTACATTTGTGAAAATAAAAATTTCATATTTTACAAACCTGTTATGCTTAAAATAAATTGTTGCGACTATTTGTGGTTTTGTTAGCTTTGTCGATTTTGCCGTATTTGTTGTGGAAAATACAAAACTGAATGTCTGTTCGTCAGCTTCATTCCAATCAAAGATCACTTTTTCAAATATTTCGGCAGTATCTAATATCAATATTGAATTACCCGCAAAATATGCTCCATTATCTGCAAGTGAAATTGTTTATCCAATAAGGAAAATAATTGGAAAAGGTCAGAGGTTAAAAAAAAAAAGCAATTTAAAGCAACTATATAATTGCGAAAGTGCAAATAGATTGAAACGCAACCATTTGAGAAAATCTTTAATTTAAAAAATTGTATAAAGATTTTGGGATAAGGTAAACTGAATAATTCGATTTTCACATATTACATTGCAATTTCTGTTAAATATGAATATGTGCGTCTAATTCACGTACGATATAACTATCACGTAAAATAAGAATATCGCTATTATTTTGGAAGAAAAACAAACAACTAAACAAATTAACAAATAATTTATTTCCTCAACTGAATCATTCATTTCAATAGCTCTCAAAATAATCTCCAGAAAGAAAATTCGGAAAAAAAAAATTCCATTTACTAGCATGAAATATGATTGCGATACTGAATGAATGATTACATCCGAGAAACATTAATTGATTCAATAAAATTAAGTAGGAAATTAATAAATATTTTTAAAAGATAAATAAGAAATAAATTAATGAATTACTAGAAAAAAAAGTAGAGAAAGGATTGTAGCTATGCGATCAAATTATTCCTTTTTCATTTTCCAATTTTAACAGTAATAGTTGAAAAATTTTATTTTAAATTCTTGAAATACGCATGTATTTACCTTCATCACAGTATTTACCGTAATATGATGTTCGAGCACAATTACAACTAACAATATTTTCAGTATTTTTCGTCATTTCCCATTCCACCAAACAATGACCACCATTTTTGCATAAATGTTCAATTTTTTGACAACCCATTTTGCAACCAAATTTAATTAGATCTTTAAATGATTGAATATTATTGATTAAAGTCATTTGAATTTTGTTGATGGAAGCAAAGAAAGAATAATTGTTCATTATAACTTTTTAATTTCACACATTGTTTAATCGTTACTAATTTATCTTCATACGGTCATCAAATTTCATATTTAAAAATTTCATATTTTTTTTAGTAGAAAACCTGGTTTAGGTGGATAGTAAGACCAATAATGTTGATTACGCATATCGATTAGCTTCCCGCTAATCATTAAACCACGCACGCAACCAAGTAAATTCGGAATAGTCGATCGATAAATCGGTTCCAGGTTACCGAAATGAATTTCAGTTGGTACACCAGCGACGAATAATAAAACGTATGGATAATTGAAAGCAATGCTATGATCAGTTATTGGTGAAACCGGTGGTTGAATAATATCTGAACTTTGGAGAAATTTGTCGTGTCTAATTAATCAATGATAAGTAATTTTCTAATTAATCAATGATAAGTAATTTTTCTTAAAAATTCAAATTAAAATCCTGATTTAAATTTATTGAAAAGTTGATATCCTAAAAAGATATCATTTTCTCAGTTCTCAATCTTCGTATTTTAAAGAATAAACTATATTTTTACTACATATTAATTTGAGATTTGAAATTAATTTGAAAAATTAAAATTTGATAAAAGAGAGAAAAATGGACTAAATTACCGCCTATATCCTGTGTAATTTCGAATTTTTTAATAAAATTGTTGGAAAGGATGCGCTCTCCGGCAATTTGACATATTTCGTCATTAACATTTAATTCAACAGAATCGGACCATTGAAATATCATCACTTGAATCCATTTCATTCGGCTATATTCTGTAATACAAAAATTTCTTTCTCTCAAATTAGTACAATTATTAATGATGGATCATCTAAATTTTTCAATATGAAATTTTGACTTAAAATTTTGACAATGTTCACCATTTCGGGCTATTGCATTATTCGATAAATGATGGATTTATAAAATAGCAGCCTAGCTGGCAATATTTTTCCCCAGATATGCACACATAATATCAATTTCTTTTAAGGGCTAATTTAAAATTATTGACCGACGAAATAGTTTGAGTATCGAAATTACTATTTTATAAAAAGTTTTCCAACTTTTATCATTTATATTATTTCGAAATTTATTTACCATTTCCAATTTTAGCGATAACCTCACAGCGATAAATGGTGCGATTGAAGTTAAGCGTTAGTACCATACGTGAATGATCAGATAAGTGTACCTGTTATAGCTATTGTTAATTTGCAAATTTTAAAAGCAATTTAAAAATATTTTGCTTAAATAAATTTCTTAAGTAAAGTATAATTTGCTGTTAAACAAAATAAACTTAATATGATGGAAAATGAAAAGTAAAAAATGCAAAGTATAATTTTAGTATCTCAGAATAAAAACAGGGAAGAAAGTTAAGCATATGCAAATGGTTATTATTACAATTGAGGAGGAAAAGTATTATCAAATTAATTGATGCTGTAACAGATAAATGGTGATGAGTTGAGGAGATGGAATTAGGAAGGATTATAAAATTAAAAAATTGAAATTCAAATTCTACTATCAATTATCTTATAAAGGGAGCAGGTAGTTATTGCAATAGCAGTTAAGTTAACTATCGGAAATTTTTGAGGAATCAACTGGAGAAAACCGAAATATATGACATAGAATACAATATCAGAACGAGAAGGAAGAGAAGACGAAGGGGGGTGATATCATTATCAGTTCAGTAATCACTCCTGACATTCATATAACAAAGAATTCAATTAGTGATTGATTAAATTACAATTCAACACGGAAAATAATTAGCAAAGCCATTAAGATGAATAACGATGAAATTGAAAAGTTCATTGCAATTTTTTTACTAATTTTATAACAATTTTTTCATTCTCATTCCGTCAGTCATAAAATAATGGTGCAAAAATATTTATAAAATCAATATGTGAAAAAATTAATATCGATTAATTATATGACAATAATGTAAGCTTTTCTTTGATTATTTAAAAATTAACATTTAAAATATTTTAATTAAAAAAAAAGTTGTTCAATTTTTTTTGAATTTTTGCTCAAAAATTCTAAGCTACAGAAAAGAGGAGAAGAATTTAAAAGACGATGATTGAAATGAATGGAATTGTTTACCTGTACGAAGTTGTATAACTGATCATGAAGGTAAATTAGTAAAGCATCACGTTGATCAGTACGAAAGCTGAATATAATCCGTTGCATCAATGCATTTTCAATACTAATATTTTCAGCTTTCAAGAATGCTTTTTTTGAATCGTGAAAACTTACTTCCGTTCCATAATTAATACCTTAAATTTTTCGGTTTTATTTTAGCTACAAAAAAAAAAAAAGAAAGAAATCAGCCCAATGATTTTATGTTACAAAAGAAAAAGAAATCCATTTCACGAATAAGTTTTTTACGATCGTTTAAGAAAAAATTGCAAACGATCTTCTTAATTAGAAGATATCGCATATCGATCTCATAATTTGCAAAATTATTTTTAATCACTTGCTACCATTTACGAAATTAGTTTTGCTTTTTACAGTAGCAAAATTGTTATCAATGGGTCACTGTCGTTACAGATATTTTTTTACTGTTATGCAATTGCTGTTACTGTATGCAACCATCCTGTAGTAAGCATTCTCTTTTTCTTTTTTTTTGCAAACTGTAAGCATTCTCTTTTTCACTTATATTTATTAAATTATAACAAAATTTCAATTTCGATTTATTATTTAAAATTTGACTTACAATATTTACGATTGCTTTTTTTTTTCTTTTTTTGCATATTTAATTTACTTAGGATGAATGAAGGATATGATCAAATAAGATCACATTAACATTATTAATATAATTGATGGTGATTTCAATCACTTCCCATTTGATCCATTCACTTATGTTTCATTTTAACTTTAAAATGAGAAAAATGTATTTGTCTCATCTCATGTATGCCATAATATTAAAATTATTTTTACGAAGGATACAGTAATCTATCAAGAAAAAAAGAAAAGACTTACTATTTTCGCATAAATGTCCTGAATGTACAATAGCATTCTTACAAATACAACGTACTGTATCGGTTACAAAATCTTCCTCACAACGACTTTCATGTTGGCAGTCATGTGATTCACATTTATTCATACATTTACTTCGTAATGTTTGATGTATTTCTTGAAGTGTATCATTTAAAATTATTTGACGGATACAACCCAAGAAACCATCAGTGCCACTAAAAAAAATTTGTATGTATGAAATTTAGAATTTTCAAACATAAAATTTATTCCATAACCTTTTCCATATTTCTTAAAGTATGAACTCACAGAAATAACACCAAATGATAATTTTTCATTATTGATAAATTATTAAATTAATAATTTATCAATGATGAAAAATAATTCTATTGCTTTTGCTATTTAGCAATACAAAATTTCTTCTGATGATAAAATCTGTAATTATCAGAATAACAGCTCAATCGAAGTTTAATCTAAAAAATTATTTTAGAATAGAAATAACAAATATGCAAGCAAAGGAATATTCCGCATTTCATATATGTATATATAAGTTTACTTACCCACCAATACTTAAATGTACACTGCTAAATGAGTGATGCTTAATTATTGTCGTTATTATCGTATCGTCTACTGAGAATCGTACCGATCCATCACGAATATCTACGATAATCCGATGCCAATATCCATCATTTTTTCTATAAATTAATAATTTTTTCGCTGTGTAATTTTTTCTTTTCATTTTTTTTGCCAATAGAGATGAAATTTCATTTTTGAAGAGTAAGTTGGATTATGTTTTTCAAATATTTGTTAGCATTAAATAAATTTCTCTCGCAAAAATATTGACAAATACAATTTGTTATTTGACAATTTTGCACAAATTTTGTGTTATCAAAAAAAAAAAAAACAAAATAAAATTCAATGGAATTATTTCATTTTTTATTTATGGCATAACGATCAGATGGCAACGAAAAAATTTCAAGAAATACCTTGATTGTGGAATAAGTGACAAATTAATTTGACCGTCAATTTGCAAATAAAATGTTCGTTCCAGCATTGTGATCGTAATGGTTTCATCACTCGATGAGAGTAAAGTAGCACTTTCAAGGTAAGTACGAAATTCAAAACTTAACGTGCTAACATTCCAGGTGCCAATTTCTACCGAGCTAAATCGATCTCGAATTGTCATTGTGTATGCATCAGATTGGCCCGCTAAAATGAATGTTAGAATAATTGGAAATGAATGATATAAATTCAATGATACAAGGAAATGATTTTCAATTTTTCATAGGCAGAAATAGAATTCAGTCAAATTATTTCATTTTTATCTGTTTAATTTCTTTTCTTAGTTTTATTTTTCTCGTTGAAAAATTATATTAAACAGTATATCATAAATATTATTGTATATATTATTTCGTTTGTGTATTTACACTAATTTCATAAATTATAGTTGCTTTACTGATATAATTAATTAAATTATTCAAAATTGAAATACTTCACTTTAGTTACAAATACCTTAAAATATGATGGATTATTAGGGAAGGCTCTTATAACAAGCATTAAATTAGCTAAATCAGTTTGCTCAATTCATCGATTTTTGAATTCCATTACCTTCATGAAAATCAAATTATCTCTTCAATACTTTTCCTTCCTAACTTTATTAACTC